GGGTGCATGGGAGAGATGCCCAGTGCCAAGGGCGATAAAGCCCCCGGAGAACTGTCACAGCGGAGGGGGCTCCCCTGCGGTCCCCGCCACGCGCTGGGCGGCACTGTAGCTGTGGCTGCCTCGGTAAGCGTGTGTCTTATCGGGCCCCCTTCCGTCCGGACCCCTGCCATCCAGGAGGTAGAAGCCAGAGCTGCTGCCACACACCCCGGGGTATACAGGAAAGACGCCCGGGACCCCGCACCCCGGGGCGCATGGGAGAGACGCCCGGACCCCGCACCCCAGGGTGCATGGGAGAGATGCCCAGTGCCAAGGGCGATAAAGCCCCCGGAGAACTGTCACAGCGGAGGGGGCTCCCCTGCGGTCCCCGCCACGCGCTGGGCGGCACTGTAGCTGTGGCTGCCTCGGTAAGCGTGTGTCTTATCGGGCCCCCTTCCGTCCGGATGCAAAGGCATTCTCCTAATGCACACCTGTTGGACAAGAAAATGTCGGATTTGCGATCGAAGAGCTGCCCACAGCCTCGAGGAAGTGACTTCCCTCTGCCGGCGTGCACTGGCCTGGGACAGCCTCATAGTTACCATCCGAGACGGAGACGCGCCCCAAGCCAGCAACTGAAAGCACCTCCGCCGTGGCAAGGGCCATGCCAAGAATATTTTCAGCAAGCACTTCCTGAGTGCCCAAAATGAGCTGGGAATTATTTCTTTTCTCTGTAATTGCCAGAGGGCGCGTGTGCTCACCAGAGAAAGAGAGCGCACCCCGACAGGGCGTGAGCGGGCCACGATCCTTCCCATTTCTCCATCCCATCGAGATCTGCCCTGCACACACAGGCAGCTGGCACGTTCTCCGAGCCACTGGGGCTGGGATTCGAACCGCAGTTGGTCACGCGGTATCCAGCTCTCTGCACAGCTCATTACCGCACTACGGGCCGTCTGGAACCTCTTCCTGTAGGAAACCTGGTGCTACATTTTAGGCAGAAAAGGTACACATGGGTTACACAGAGCGAGGACAGTCACCCGTGGAGGCCAAGAAGGGAACATTTCGGTATCGGGGAGTCCGTCGGCCGCACCAGTGTGCAGAGAAAGGGATGGGAGGGAAGGGAGAGGAGGAGGAAAGACACAACCGTTGGCCCCTCCTTCAAGGACGTTCAGAAGGAAGGGGACACGCCCTGGTGAGAACCAGAGGTGTCCACAGCCGGGGAGAGGGCAGGGCCTGAGCTGTGCTCTGAGGCTGTAGAACTCGTAGAAGGAGGAGACCCTTGACATTCTGGGTCCCTGAGAAGAGAGGAGGGGGAGATTAAGAATCCAGGCAGGAAAAAACTGGCCAGCACGGGCGTGGGTCACCTTACCCACTGGGAGTCCCATGTCGGTGACATAAGGCATCTCTTGTCTTCAGCCAAAAATGACATAGAAAGGGGTTTGAATATATGTAGAAACAATTCATATGACACTTTCCAAATCCCTGGTGTTACAGACGCAGAGCTGGCCAGTTAGACATGTCAAAGGGAAGGTCATAGCAGACGGAACAGGCCAACGCGACCTGCAGCCCGCAACCTGCCCGGCCTCCTGGCCCAGCCTCCTAGGTAACAGATCACTCATCGCCCGCCAAACGCAGTGTGGACCTCGGCCAAGTCCTTCTGGAGACATGCTCTCTTTGGCCCTCAACTTCTCCGTGAGTAAAAGGTGGAATTAAAATCACGTCCATCGACCGATGAGTGGGTGAGCAAATTGCAGCATCACCATGGGATGGCAAGTGCTCAGCAGTACGAGGGCATGGGCTAGCGACGTACTCAACAGCGCGCATGAATCTCAAGATAATTCGGGTCCAAAAGAAAGAAAAAACAGGCTCCGTGTGCAGAGCACACACTGTCTGGTTCCATCTACACAAAGTTCTACAGCACCAGCTCCGTGGCCGGTGGGAAGGCAGCCAGATCCCACCTGGCCAACCCTGGTGTCTTGAGGAAACACACCAGGCATGTGTGCGTGCATGCCCAAATCCCAACAGGGTGGAGGACAAGGAGGAGAAGGGGTTACGGAACCACTCCCCGTGGGGGGTGCTTTCTCCCTCACCATCTCTGACTCTGTCTCTCTCAGGCAAGCACAAGTACCCTCTGGCAAAATCAAAACTAAAAAACTAAACAATGCAAACTCCCCCAGGGTGACAAAAGCAGGTCAGTGGTGTTCTGGGACTGGGAAGAGTCCTAAGGAGAGGGAGAGGCACAGGGAAACCTAGGGGCCTGCAGCCTGTGCTCCCGCCCCGTGCCTGCGGTCCCACAGGCTTCTCATGGCTGCACTGGAACTGTGCGCTCGGGTGCGCCCGCGGTGTGTAATCAGGCCTCATAACGCTTAAAACACAGAATCACAACGTGACACTTCAACCGACCTCCAACTCTTTTTTTTTTCTTTTGTGACTCTTTGTTCCCTTTACTCAAATGTCCTGAAGAAAATCATTAGCTCCAAGCAAATATTCTTTTGTTCTTGAAAGGCAGCAGCCCTGGTTTTTCCAACCGCAAAAAATTTAAGAAGAGGAGACAGCTCTGAGAAGCTTCTTATAATTAAGGTTCTAGTTCTTCACTCCTCTTCCCCAAAGCTCAACAAACTCTCACTGAGCTCAGACGTCCTAAAAGACACCACTCCTCTCTCGTAGAGCCTAAAATAAACATGAAAAATCTAAATCAAAAGATTTAAAAAAAAAAAAAAAAAGATTTTCTAGCAACTTCCCTTGTTGTGATATCAAAGAAGTCAAAGATTTTTAAGTTGGGGCCAGCAGGTGGCGTAGTGGTTCAACCACTGGACTCCCACATGGCCGACCACAGTTCAAGTCCCAGACCTGGCACCTTGCTTTCTCTCGCTCTTTCTCTCTCTCTCTCTCATTGCCTCTCTCTAGTGAACACTCGTGCCCCATAGTGAACTAAAAAATAAGAATAATAAATAAAATTAAATAAATAATTCTAAAAAGGAAAAAAAAGATTTTAAAAGTTGCCTGGTTCCTTAGAGGTTAGCAGGGTTATTAATTTTAAAAAGTGCTCTAATTTGAAAGTGTCTCCTCTCTTCGGAGTGGCACTCTCACCAACACTGAGCGTGACAAGAAGAAGATAAACAGCACCCCAGAGACAGGGACTGTGGGTGCTGGATAAGGGTATTTTGAATCCTGCTTCAACCTGCAGCCACAAAAGGAACCCGTCCTACGTAAAGTTTTGCAATTTCTAACCACCGGTCTACATTCCTGAAAGGTGACGTGTGAAATGGAGCACATGTCCCTGTTAGGCTGAATCGTTTTCCAGGTATGTTTTTAATTGCTAGAAGGTGCATGCACTCAGCAGAGAGAGAGGGAAGGGGGAGACGGGAGGAAGAGAGCGCCCCACCAGGAGGAGACGTCACGTTGCAATCTCATCTCCCCGTCTGTCAGGACGCTGGGCATGCACACATGCACCAGAGTGATTTTCAAGCCACTGTGGGCAGGATTCGAACCGTTGGTGGGATCCCGCTCCCTTAACCACCAGGCCACAAGGCTGGCCCTCTATTCTTTTACTATAAAGAGGAAACAGACTTGGGACCACTGGGATTCTGCCTTTGGCATTTAGTGGCTTTGTGAGCCTCAACGATCCCCTGACTTCTCTGAACTTCAAGTTCCTCCTCTGAAACGGAGCTGAACTCCAACGGCTGACCAGAGGATTACCCAGAATGAGAAGGTCCGAGGCCTGGACAGTGCTCGGTGCCTCCTGAGAACGGAATCCTGCCGCACCCGCTCACCGTTCATTCCGAAGCTGGACAGTCGGGAAATTCTGAAGTTACATGTCGTCGAAGTGCTGTATGCTGGAGGTTAACCCCGTTCCTCGGGTGGATGACCCCATTACTTCCACTTTCTTCCTCATTCACTCAACTAGTAAGTAAAGATTTGAGCTCGGCCAGGTGAGTTATGTCACAGTGGATTGCAGCCCTTGGTTCCGATAACACCCACCAAGAGGTCCCGCCCCGTCTGTGTCTGTGTGTGCCTGTGTATCTGTCTGTGTTCGGGCAGTGAGGGGGCAGGGAGAGGAGATGCCCTCACTTACGTCGACACAGAGCAAGCACTCGCCACCTACTCTGGGCTTAAAACCATGTGACACTGAAACGTGGTGACACAAACTTTCTGGGAACAAACCCAGGGAGGGGGACCCAGCCCAAGGGCCAACACCAGACTGCCTGCACTGTTCCGGAGCCCTAGATCCGCCTAGCGCCGCCAGCTTCTCATTGCCCCGAGGCTATAATTAAGTGAAGGCTAAAATGTTCTCTCCTGGAACAAATGTCAGCCTCGGGATTCGAGCCAGTGCTGCGGCTGAGCCTGCTGAGAGCAACTCCGGCCCCTAGACCAGAGGTCGGGGTCTGCTGCTGGCCCCACCATGCCTTCAGCCCCCCTGGGCTCCGACAGCGCAGGAAAGACCCCTGCTCGGGGGACAGGCAGTCCATCCTGGGAGACCACGACGTGGCTGCGGCAGGTGCGAAGACAGCACACCCAGACACTGAGGACGCGCAGGGGACGTTCCCATTGCCCGCTGTCACCCCCGCGCCCCGCCGGGCTGAGCTCCCGCGCATTGATGCTGGGGAAATTCCTTGTTAATGGACTTCACGGTGCTGTGCGACTCTCCTCGGCCAACGCTCCCGGAAATATAGAAAGGGCAGGTCAAAGTGGGCTTGCTGGCTAGCCACGCAATGGTGCGGCAGTGCACGTGCAGACTTCCGAGCAGCTGCGCAGGGAAGACCAGGGGCCTGGAACGCGGCACAGGCTAGGCCCAGTGTAGACGGCGATCCGGGGCAACCTCGGGAAGCGATACCCTGGGTCTCAGCACACTCACCACCCGCCCCGCGCTCCCAAAACCCTCCACCCTGGTCCAGAACCGTCCGGACCGCATCGAGAGCGCCCCCTGGCGGCCACAGGCGGGGGTGGCACCAACCCGTCCGCGCC